GCCCCTTGACCGTGGCCACGCTGGCGATCCCCAACTTAGCACGCCATCGTAGCCCGACGAGTTTGTCCTTCGACGATTGATCAAGCGCCTGGCTGGCTGCCAGGAACTGAGGCTCGGACATCTCGAGCCACGGGGCCTGCTGCTCGGGGGTGAGAGCCTGCTTCTTACCTTTAACCTGTCCTCCTCCACCTCCTCCCTGACTGCCAGCTCCACGAGGTCCCCCCTGAGGAGGTGGTCCTGAAGCCCAGAACCCACGAGGCTGAGGAGCATGCCAAGGAAGAGCGCCAGACAGGAGCGGATTGGGACCCGTGCAACCTGCCTGCCTGCACTTTGCTCTGAAACCGAAGTTGTAGTAGCCGCACGAGCCGCACTGCCAGCCATTGGGCTTGGCCGCCATGCGCCCCGCGCTCGCACGAAACACCAGTGGGGTCGCGAACCCCAGGCCAGTGAGCCTCAAGGGCCCTGAAACCAACACGCCACAATCGCTCGAGCGAGGTTGGAAGTTCAGGAGAAGGCCCCTTGAGCCAAAATGGCTACGGATCTCCTCCTTCTCATCTCCTCCTCCTCCTCCTCCTCCTCTCCTCCTCCTTCTCCTCCTCCTCCTCCTCCTCCTCCTCCTACTCCTCCTCCTCCTCCCCCTGTTCCTCCTCCTCCTCCCCCTCCTCCTCTTCCTCCTCCTCCTCCTCCTCCTTTGCTCTCCTCCTGGGGCGGGGGAACGAGGGCGACCTCCAGTGTGTTCGCAAGGACGGTCGCGCACCGGGTGAGCGCTGGGGCGTGGCTCACCAAATCTCTGGGCATTAGTATGTCCTTGCACGGTGCCCGAAACTATCCTCAAATTGTAACCACAAGCTGCTGTCCGACGCAACCCTGACGCCTGATCCGCCGCACTTCTTGGCGATTTCGCAAGTAGGGCGAAATTCCCGCCCTACTTCTCAAGCTCCGCCATGCTTTGCAGACACGCTGTGTCCGCCATACTTGTTGCAGAAACATCCGCCCTGCTCTCCGAGGAGGAAACATCCGCCCTACTCTTTCGCATCGCCTGGGGTGCATTTCCCAAGCAAGTTCAAGTCGGGAAATCAACTAAAGTACGGCGGATCTGGAAACAGGCGAATAGTTACCGCGGGTTCGTGTCGTGCTGACTTCTGCGTTCTCACACACCGCGGGGATCCTTAAACCTTGAACGATCGGCCGCTTCCGAAACGCCAGATCAACCGACATTGACCGATTCTCGGTCGTCGGCGGCGTTCAACGTTGAACGCCGGCGGCGGGGTCGCCGCTGGTCGACACGACGCGAACCTGCCGTATACCACAACCGCTGGGCTGAGGGAGCCGCTCCTGGCGCACCCCAACTGCCAACCCCGACCCCCCAGCTGTGATGACCTGCGCGCGGCGCCCGATCTCGAGGGCCGCGCGCAGGTCATCACCTCTGGCGGGTCGGGATCGACCTCAGGGGGGCGCCAGAGGCCGTTCCCTCAGGCCAACAAAAGTGGTTGTCCCTTCCCCGCGCATCGAGTCGGGAAGCCAGGTCGAACTCGAAGTCTGCCCGATCCTCTCGAAATCGGAACGAAATCTGCAATCGCCACGTCGGCCTGGAAATCGGAAGCGGGAGTTTGCTTCGGACCTAAACCGAGCATGATTATAGGCACCCAAGATCGGGACGTATGCGCCCAACCGCGTACATGAATACAGCCACCCACTCCACTACGGATCCCAGAGATCCGCGCGGAGCGCCAAAAATTTATGTTTGCAGCGATGTTTGTTCTTCGATGTACGTGTACGTTTAGGTCGGACATGTCCCCCTACAGGGGGATTTTAAGCGACAAATCAGAAATAGCCCAAAAGTATCCCCAACATGCGCAGAAATGCTCAAAGAAATCGCCCCTCTGACGATTTTTTAACTACTTTTGAGTATTCCTCCTCTAGAAAGACAGGCCCGACTTAAGCGTACGTCCTTCTTTCGCTCCTCTCGAGCGTTGGCAGAACTGGGTTTAGTGGGATCTGGTTTAGTGATGTGGACTGGGGGGCGCCCCCCAGGCCCCGCTCCACCAACCGGAACTGCCGTCACCCGAAACAACACCAGCTACGGCAGACCTGGTTCAATGATTCTGGCCCATTTAGGGGCTCCGGGGCCCTACCACTAACAAGGTCCCCTTACCTGGGGTCTTGGCTATACCCAATTTTCGCTCCCGAGTGATCGCTTCCAGCCTCCTCCCTAAGGGGGGAGGCCAAAGAAAGCTCCGTGCCAGTGGCGCGCAGGTCCTGGCCAGGCCCACCCTGGGACCCTGGGCCCTCGGCTTGTAAGTCGGGCCTGTCCCTCCACAGGGGGAAGATTCAAAAGAGTTAATTAAAACAAATAGCCTGGGGAAGATCTTTTGCCCTGTTTCACGATTTTGGGGAAACGAATTCTGGAGTATAGAAGGACGTGAACTTAAATCTGCCCTGTCTCTCTACAGGGGGTGCATGGGGACGATTATTTTTTGTATGTTTTTCAGTATTATGGGAATATGTTCTGCGTGTTTTCGATTTGTCGTTCAAAATTCACCAGTAGGGGGACGTGCCCGACCTCCCCCTGCGGGGGGTAGGTCGGGCATGTCCTCCTACGAACAGATTTTGGATGAAAGATAATCAAAAACAAATCCATCACAGCAGGAAAAAAAACAAACATCGTCTCCATATTAATTTTCGATTATTTTTGAATTCTCCTCCTGTAGAAGGACATGCCGGACCCAACCCTCAGCCGACGCAGGCCGCACCGGGGCAGAGCCTGGCGGGGCCTGCTGGCACAAATCCCGCGGACCCAGGCCAGGGTTAGGTCGGGCATGTCCCCCTACAGGCGGATTTTGGATGAAAGTTCAAAGAATCACAACATTACAACCAGAAGAAAAGTCAAACAATAATCGACAAATCCTCCCCGGACTAGAGGGACGTGCCCGACATAACCCCGAGCCCTCAGCCGCTGCAGGCCGCACCGAGGAAGAGCCACATTCTTCAACATACTTTTCACGCTTCGTCCAAAATCCCTCTGTAGGGGGGCAGGCCCGACAGAAGGCTAGGGTGAGCGAGAGTGACTTCGCGCTCTCGCACCGGCCCCAAGGGGAGAAGAGCAAGATGAGGAGGAATCGGAGCTGAACCGCGAAGCGCGAAAAGCTCAGCGCCCTCGGGGGCGCCCTTGGATCATGTTAGTCTACATATGACTACCTACCAGACCACCCCAACCCAACCCGAAGACCCGAATTTCGGGTTGGGGGGGGTATGGGTTCCATACGTGTTTTTTCGATGTTCCCTGACCCCCCCCCCACTGGAAATGGAGGGCAAATTGAGGCCTTCGGGTTGGGTTGGGGTGGTTTGGTAGGTGGTGAACATAGCCGATGCCCTGCTTCACCGGCTGAGTCAGGGGCCATGGCGTCAACAAGTATTGCTCAACTGCGCAAAGCACCTTTCCCATGCGGGTGAGGCTGCGAGTGCGCTAGCCCTGGCGATCAAACGGCGGGCGACACTTCTCAGCAGCCAACCCTCCTAGAAGAAGGAATAGCTGCATAAACATAAACGTTTGACGCTGCGCGCAAACTTCTTGGATCTGCGCTGGACCCCCCTCCCTGGCGCGCGGAGCGCGCAAGGGGCGGCGCCGGAGGCGCCGCCGGGGAGGCCCAGCGCGGATCCAAAAATTCCGCGCGGAGCGCCAAAAGTTTATGTTGATGCCGTTCTTTCTTCGTGTGGGTTTCGTTTGATGAAGCGCAAGAGACCACAGCTTCCGCTTTTCGCACCGCCTCTAAGAGGGCAGACTGGCTACCTCAGACTATGCCTCGTCCATGGCTATTGCCTCGTCGAGGTTTTCTTCTTCGAGCTCCGAAGAAGAACACCTCGATCGTCGATGCACAACCCCGTCGCTAGAGGACACCGTCCCTACCCCCAGGTTCCCCGTCGAGCGTACCGGGAAGAGAGTTTCCACGACGGGGATCGGAGCGCCGTGGGCGCGCAAGGTTCGCCCGCGACGGGGATCGATCTGCTCCGTGGGCTTGGTCGGAGCAGCGACGGGCCCCCAAGCCGTGCGAAAAGACCACCCGGCAGGATCAAGCCGGATTCGGCTGCTCTGGCCAGGAATAGATTCCGAATTAGACTTAGGTCGGGCGTGTCCTCCTAAAGGTGGATTCTTGACAAACAATACATACTCCAAAAAGTACCTCCCACATGGGCAAAAATAATCACAAGATCGTCCCGAGACTATTTTTTACGATTTTTGAACATTCCTCCTGCAGAGGGACAGGCCCGACTTAATTTTAAATCTGGGGCGGCCGGAGGAGGCAGCGCCCTGGCGCCCCCCCCGCCCCAGCGGCCATTCCGCGAGACGCTGCAGCGACCCAGACACCGGAGGCCTCCGAGGTGGGGTCGGAGCAGAGTCAACCCGCATAGTAAGGATGGGCAACCTTTCCCAGGCTACCCTTGCGTCCTGGTGGTTCCTTCGGCCAATCCTCGGTAACTTTCGCTGGCAAGCCTCGTTCGAAAAACATGAACATGGCCATCCAAAGCCCTTGCATCCTTACCGCGCATCCATACTATACAAATTGACTGTAGATTTGGGCCGGGCATGTCCCCCTGCAGGCCGATGTTTGACGAAAAAATAAAAATAGTCAAAAATACTTCAACATATCTCAAACAAATATCAAAAAGTCGTCCCCTTACTATTTTGTTGACTACTTTACTATTCCTCCTGTAGAGGGAGAGGCCCGACTTAAGAGTAGATGGGGTCGGGGGATCGCGCCGCATCGCCGATACGTCGACGATACATCGGCGATGCATCGGCGATGCATCGGCGATGCACCGGCGACGCATCGGTCGACGTCGGCGATGCATCGGCGACGTCGACGTGAAGCAAATCGGGCTCCACATCGAGCCGCAGCAGCGATGCATCGGCGATGCGGCGCGATCCTCCGACCCCATCTACTCCGACCCCATCTAGGAGGCCTAGAATCACAGGGATCAGACGCCTCTGAGGAAACCACACCTCCAGCACGTTCACCACTGCGCCTGCGGGCTATGCCCCTCCCCCACTTCCCCTTCCCTGTCCTCCCTGCTGCTGTCCGAGCAACTCACCTCCATCAAAACTCGCGCTACCATCCATTCCTCGTCGTCTGGCTTCTGGTTCATGACTCGGGTCTGCGGCGGCCCTTTGGGACGATCTGGGCACCCCTGGAACGCTCTCGGCGAGGCGCAGCCACAAGAAGGCTGAAAACGCGTGAAAGCTTCGAATCTCAAACATTCGCCCCCCCGCCCTCCCCCCCCGAAACCGCACGTCCTCCGTTCACCGCCGCTCCCTCTGTCTACTGCACCGCTCGATCATTTCCTGATTGCTCATAACATGATTGGGTCAGGGTCATTTTGGGGCATTGCATGTCCACTATGACACCCGTTGGCGTATGGATGAAAGACATCAGCGCAATAAGAAGGGATGGATGGGATGGGTAGGATATCAGATGTGGCTAGACTTCTCCCATCGCTCCCTCCCTTCTGCCTGCGATCGCCGCCTACACCGTTGGCCTTTCAACCACGGGGTCGCGCCTCAGGTCGCGCCATGGATTGTACCATATCTTGCGCCACCTGTGGGCTGCGCCACCCATGGGCTTCGCCATGTGAGCGCCGTCCAGAGGAGCGGCCCGCATCGAATCGATAGATCGGATCGGGTCGGACCGTGCGCAACGATTCGGGCCGGATCGGCACGGAGTCGCAACCGAATCGAATCGGAAACGCCAGGGTGTACAACACCGCCCTTCCACAACAGAACCAACCCTGAGACCACAGGACGTCCATTGACTTCTGGTGCGCGAAAGTCACGCTTCCCACAGCAAAACCATCGACACCCAAGAAACCCAGGGCACCCTGGAGGCAAGCAAAATGTTTCTTGGCATGGGCCTCCACTGCATCGGAGTCGGATCGGATCGAGCCGGCCGGAAAAAAACAGCTAATCGGATCGATCGGATCGAAGTGGAACCTGATCCATTGGTGCGCCTGTTTTTTCCACCGCCGCCACCATAAGTAGGAGGGTGAGGGGGTCCTCCTCCCCCTCGTCTTCCTCATCCTCCTCTTCCTCCACCTCCATCCCCCCAACTCATGGTGGTGGTGGTGGAGGAAAACATGCCCATCATCCATGGTCTGCATCATATGCTCCACGAGCGGCGACCACATCCGTATACGCGCCGTCCAGGCCTGGATTCCAGGGGCACGACCCCGCGGATGCGCGGCCGCACGGATGCGTTCCCAGACATGCGACGTCCTGATCTTTTCAGGACGGCGTCCCTGGAAGTCCAGACCCTTTCCTCAGGACCAGCTTTTCATCCTGAGCCGTTTTTTTTCACCCGTCCCGAAGCCTGGCGAGGGCTCCCCGAGGCCAAAAACGGGCACAAACCTCCCGTCCTGTTTTTTTAACGACGCGATCGTGTCTGGGTCCCGCGCGGGGCAGCCAACAAAAAACACGCCGTAGCCGCCGGGTCGCGGCCAGGGGCCCGGCCCGCGAGGCCGCGGCTACGGACGTGTTCGTCGCCCACGATCACACGGGGGCGGCGCGAGGGGACGGCGCGAGGGGGATAGGAGGAGGAGGAGGAGGAGGAGGAGGAGGAGGAGGAGGAGGAGGAGGAGGAGGAGGAGGAGGAGGAGAGGAGGAGGAGGAGGGAGGAGGAGGAGGAGGAGGAGGAACGCCACATTCGGACGCACAAGGTCTGGGCAGCGGAAAAAAGGAGGAAGAGGAGGAAGAAGAGGAGGAGGAGGGGTGCAGGAGGAGGGGGGGGCGAGACAGGGAACTCTTGGAAAGCAGGGGCCTCGACAGAAGCGGCCAACGGTTTCCCGGAGGTTTCCTCTGGGTATCGTTTAACCGATCCCCATCCTCAGCGGCGTGGCCTGGGCCCCGCTGGCCGATCTACCCCCCCAGATGGGGATATAGGCCGTATCCTTCGGTTTTCGAGGGGTGTATCCCCAACTGTGGTGGTAAGTTGGTGGGGGTCTCGAAGGGGATGGGGATGGGGATGGGGATCGGTTGAACGATACCGAGAGGAGGAGGAAGAAGAGAAAGAGGGAGGCAGGAGGACTATCGAGGACTATCGAGCGAGGGGCTCCGCGGTCGACTCGGCCGCCGCGGCCCCCGCCCGCGCCGACCGCGCGGGCTCACCTGAGGTCGCGAGCCCACCCCAGAGACAGGGCGGGCCTCCACCCCCCTGCCGCTCCCAGGGGCAGAATCTCTCTGCGGGGCCGCAACCCCGTGCCAGGCCGCGCAGACCGCGCAGGCCCGAGCCGCGCAGGCCGCGCGGCTGAGGTCGCGACCCAGCCCCCTGAACAGGGCGGGCCTCCACCTCACTGCCACTCCAGGGCAGAGTGAATCTGCGGGGCCGAAGCCCCGTGCCATGCACTCAACCACGCGGCCGTCGCCAAGCAGCAGCTCGTGGTAACCGTCCGCTATTAGGCGGCACCGTGCCGTCTGGCCAGTCATGGCACGCCTTTGGTGGTAGTCCGTGCAGTAGTCGACGCAGCACAGTTGTGCCACTCGGGGTGATCTTATCCCTGTACTTCGCCACCAGCAAGTTGACTCTGCCATGTCCATCATCACTGTGTGAAGCCACTGCCGCACAGCTCCAGCACCAGAACTGCCCATGGGCACCCACGATGCAGCGGCTGGCGTGGATCACCTTGTCCTTTACAAATATGTTTATATATATAATCTCAGTGTCAGGTAATTGTACATCATATCCGTGATCAGCTCGGTGCGTCTCGTACTGCCTTCCGACGCACACGTTGGCCTTCATCCAGTCGACCACGCAGTACTTGCCAGGTGTAAGCCAGCACCCTTGGTATGCCCATTGGTCCTTCTTCTTCAGCACTATGTGTCCTGATTCCTGTTCGGCTTGAGCCCGTCTTTCTCGTGCTATCTCTATGAGCGCCTGCTTTGGTCTGTCCAGCTTGCTGGGGTCCGCATCCTTGCAGATCTCGTGGGTAATGGCTGCAGCACGTCGCTGGGCTCTCATGAGGGTAGTCTCCACTTCCATGAATTGAGCAGTTTGGTCTCTGAACGTATAGCTGTGATGGCCTCTTCTGCTCCACGCTGGGCAAAAGTGTCCGCCATCCCGTTGCCCATGCTGATGTGGAAGGGCTGGCCCGACAGCTTTACGGACTCCTGGTCGAGGTAGGACAAGCATTTGTGAACTTGCACCCCGTGTATTCCATCAGGTCGCGTGCTTATCATTTTCCCGATCCTTTCCCACCATGGTCTCTGGGCTCCTTGGGGTTTCTCGTAGCACTTCTGGGCCCAGCCATTCACGACTTGCTGGCAGTCTGTGGAGATCCCGATTGGACCCTTAGTTAGCGCCAGCGCCAAGACTAGTCCTGACTGTCTAGCTGCTGGTGCGCTCTGCTCCCCATCGACCGTGCCGTAGAAGCCGATGTGGTCTGTGCCGTCTATGTGGCCAGTGCAGAGGCTAGGTCGGCTACCTTGTCGGAGTTCATGCACAGATATGTGTTGTACTTCTGGCTGTTGAACCTCATTGTCATCATTGTTGTCGTCGTACTACTCGGGGTGGTCCTGGTCGAAGGTGGGAGCTCTGTCTTCTAGTAGCTCACGGAACTTCGTCTCAACGTCCGAGACGCATTCGAACCAATGGGATACACAGGCATCTTTCTCACAACCTGTGAGCCTGTGAGCGTAAGGGAGTACTCATACACGTATTTGCGTTTCCTCTTGGAGGTACGCCACTGCATGTCACACAGGTCCTTCGCGATCTTGCTAATGTCTCTAGTTTGGTAGCGTGCTAAGAGTAGCCGTCGTAATGCCGCTTGCTCGGGCTGACGGAAGAAGCTGTTCATGTACTGCTCGAACCAGGAGTTTCCAATTGGCTTGGTTCCTGGTCTCGTCAAGGTCGATATATACCGTCCACGTGGCCGCCCATAATCCCGCTGTTGCTCTGTCGCGATATCCGTAGGAGCCGTTGCATCCACTGCAGCTGGGCCAGCGCCTGATGGGGCATCCTCGCCAGTGTCCAACATGGCGTGCGAAGACCCACTCGTGGTTGGTGCGTCCAGCGGGCGAGGATCCTGACCAGCCCCTGGTGGGCTCCCCTGTCCCTCGGGGGCATCGTCGCACCACCTACGCGCCTGCCATAGCTGCTGCTGCTGTCGTCCATCTCGTATTTGTCGTGTGAGTCCCCATTCCACTCTGTTGATGCGCATATCGTTGCTGGTGCCTGATCCGTCCATGAAAGCCATGCTGCACTGTGTAGGTTCGACGGTGACGAACTCTCTGGGGGGTTCCTTAGAGAGCGGGGGCCTCGTCAGGAGCGGCCCGAGGCTTCCGGAAGGTCTCCTCCGAAGGCTCCGAGGGGGCCTTCGCAGGGCGGTCGCAGCTATGGTTGCAGGCCGAATTGAGACGTCTCGATACCGTAGGATGTGTCTGTATGTTTCGAAAAGTGCTTCTCAGCTCCGTAGCCAGCCTACAGCTCGAAACGAACTTTCAAACCCCTCACAATCTTCAAACAACCGTCCAAGAAGGCCACGGCCTGGCTTCCGAGGCGCCCTTTCTAAGAAGAGGCCCCGCCGTCCACGAGAGCGCTGCCTCCCGTCCGTGAGGAGCCGGGTGGCGCGGGCCGTGGGCCGCGCCATCCGCGGGGAAAGCACCACGTGCGGTGCCCTCCGGGATGAACTCGGGCGTGTCGCCCTACAGGCAAATGCTGGACGACCAATGAAAAATGCTCAGAACACATTCCAAATGCATATTGAAACATAGTAAAACTAATCGTCAAAGCATTGCCAACACTGATGCCACCATTGTGAAACCATTGTCAAAACAGTGTCGAAATCGTCAGGAACGTATTCCCAAACATTGTCAAATAAGATATCAAGAAATCGTCCCCTGACTATTTTTGATACTATGCTTGACTATTCCTCCTGTAGGGGGACAGGCCCGACTAAAATCTGGGACCGAGCAGAAGGCGGCCTGCTGCTCACCTGCACCGTCATCGTCGCCCTCGGCGCGAGGCGAAGAGGGGAGGCGGGCGACTCAGCAGGCAACTCCTGGGGAGCCTTCGTCGGAACGATTGAGGGCTAGAAGCCCGGAATGGGTCCGGTATTCAGCCAGATTCAGCAGGGCTGAGCCGGGTTGAGCGTGCTCCAACCAGATTCGGTCAGTTTTCGATCGGGGGTACAGGAGGCGCCCGACCACAAGAAACCTTCTACAAGAAACCCAACCCTCAGACCCCTGGACGTCCAAGGACTTTTTGTACGGGGACGTCGCGCTTTCCATCGCGACACCATCGAAACCCAAGAAACCCAGGGCACCCTGGGGGCAAGCAGGGTGTTTCTTGGCATGGGCCTCCACTGTGTGCTAGCGCTGATTCAGAATTCGACCACAAGGGATCGGCGTCCCTATCTGCCGCTGGACTGGCAAGCAGACTGCGCCTTCGGTGGCTCACCCCTGGACAACAACTGAAAAAAACGCTGGCGGCTGTCACTGCGACGACCTTGCAGACGTGCTGCAACGAATTATTGGCAAAAAAATCTGCCAGTTCTAAGCCCCGGCAAGGCGAGTAAAAAACGGAGTGGATTCTACGTGGACTTTTTGTTAGTGCTTCTTCCTGGCCCAAAGAAATCCCCACGAAATTCCCCCCGGAATCTGGAGCGACATGCTCCAGGACACTCTGGGCCCACCCTGACGGTTTCCGAACGAAATCCGCTCTGCGATGTTGGCGCCATGACAAATTGATCTCGCCACAAATTGTGCCCCAATGCAAAGGCTTGTCGAGGCAGCGGCACAAGTTGCGTATTCAGCAGCCGGAACTAACATGGCCTGCTCTTCGTTGCGCCAAGCATTGAACCCTCGGCGACCGAAACCAAAACGACCTGCTGCTGATGGCGCACTACATTGAGCCCTCGGCGGCGGAACATAAAACGGCATGCCGTTGGTGTGCGCAAGAAATTGCGCCAACGGCGGCCGCATGTAAGATGGTGCGCAAAGAAATGCCACATACCCAGTCGGTGCCCGTCGCGAAGAGTGCAGCCAGTTTCGGTAACGCGCCCGAAGCCAATCGAAAGGGCACAGTCTAGGAAAACAGAGCAAAGACACACGTACAAGCCCACGCCTCGAACGCGCTCACTTCTCTCCACAACATGCTGCAACAACTCCACCACCCTCTCCAACACAATTTCTGCCCGCTTCATCTCTCCCACCAGACATGACAAGTTGGGGTTTAGCGCATCTCCGCTGGCTGGCCATCGCTCGCACGTCCATTCCCTGTGTTTTCTTAGGTTTCGTGCGTGGTTTTTTCGCAGGATGATCCAGGATGATCCTTAGTAATCCCCGCCGAGACAAGTGCGCACGTCCGAGCGATACCAAGCTGGCCTCCCGAGACCCCCGACCTCACTGGTCACCGTGTCGCCCTGCTCCCCCGCCATCGGGCCGCGGGGCCGCGGCAGCTCCCGGGGAGCCACGACAGTCTGACTCGATTGGACAGAACGCGCGAGAGCAGGGGGCAAACAAACCTGCCTCTCTTTTGACCACCCTCGCTTCCAAGAGATACCAAGCAATGCCAAACTACGGCCTGTACTGGTCAGGCCGCTTGACGAGGAGGCGCGTGGTATAACTTGGTTTTGCCTGGAAGCGAAAGCGGGGTAGGTAATTCACGCACTGAGAGAGGACACAAGACCCTTCCAAGGGCCACATCGGCATAGGAGTGCAAGAAGGCGCGCGTCGCGACGCAAAGGACACAAGGGTACTCTCGATTTGGGAGGGTCGACCTACTAATCAGGGCCGACTGCATCCCAGCTCTACCACCCTGCATACCGCGGCCGACAGGCCCAAAGCGTGCCGGTGCTCCCTGGGATTCCCGCCCCGTGCCTTCGACGAATGATGGCCGCATGCCGCGGCCGCCAGGTCCATTGTGTGATGGTGTTCCCTGGGTGTCCCGCCTCGCGTTCTTGGGGATCGCTCGAAAGAACTGGATGTCCGCATCCTTCGAGCACGTTGTGAGCGCCATGCGCGAGGCGATGAAACCAACTGTTCCAAACAACTACTCTGGTTCTGTCCCTGGTGAAGATGCTGGTGTCGCTTCTCCTCCTCCTCCTCCTCCTCATCCTGGTCCTCATTCTGCTCATCGTGCTTACTCCGCCAGCTCATCTATCCTTTTACCCCTCGGCTCGTACGATCCCCTTACGAGGCAACGTCTTCTGGAGAAAACTTACAGTCGACGAGGCCAGATTCATGAGGCCATTCACCCTTGTAAAGCCCATTATTGAGTGAACCCGAATTTAGCTGAGCTGGAGAAGACTAAGCGGACCTAAGAGAGATTATGGTGGATTTGGCGAGTCTTCGACCGCGCATATGCCAACGCCGATGCTGAACTCAACGTCCAAAGACTTGCACCATAATTTGCACCTTCTCTTGCCACCTCTCCCTCAATGTCCTGTCAGAAGACGCACCGACACCACCACGTGGAAGCGTCAAGCAGGCGCGCGCCTGTCTCCAGGAAGGAAACAATTCCCGAAGATATGGACACGCCCGACGTCACTCCGGTCTGGCTGTGGGTAATGATGTAGAGGCCTCGGATCGCCAAGCGAAAAAAGGCAGGGAGGAGGAACAGAACGATGATGAAGAGGGGTAGGACCATAATAAGCCCACAATGCGCAAACGATGATACATCCGCTTGAAGGAACACGAGCGGCCCCCTCAAACGAACGCCTGGATGAACGTGCGTTAAAAGCGCAATGTACCCTCGCCGCTTACCCCGCCATCTAATTATCCTTCGCTTCCGATTTGTACCATCCCTCTTCCTGACTACCCCATCCTCCCACTCTCTTCCTCTCATCTGTTCGATTATACCAGCGGTACACATAGACACAAGCCGGAGAAAATGCATAAACATGTTAGCCAGCGTGGTCCCAATGCACTGTGCATCTGGAAAATACAGGTTCCGCGATTACTGTGGGGCAACCTGTGTTGCGCCATCTACGTGAACGATATACTGCGTGCAACCTGCAACCGGTGTTACGCGGTCTATGCTGTGCAGTGGTGCAGTTTAGGTGGTGCAACCTATGCTGTGCAATGAATCCTGTGCTCATTATATGGTGCGCAGTCGCCGTGGTGAAACCCATGTGGTGCGCAATCGATGTGGTGCAATCAATGTGGTGTGATCTGTGTGGTATCACTTTTGTGGTGCACCTGCGCGTGCGACCTATAGTGTGCAAATCTGCGTGGTGCAACTTATGCGGTGCACTTCACTTTGACTGTCTTGAAGCTGTCCGCTCCACTGCTCGTGCAAACATCCCACCCTACCACCCGCAACTTGGTCGCAAGACCTCGTAAGACCGTGACGGTAGATACCAAATGGCACTTGGCAACGACACCACGCCGACGACAACAGCGACAACGAGGATGACTACGCCGCCGACACCGACTACGACGACGCCGACGACGTCTCCAACGACTTCGACGGCCACGGCAACGACGGCAACGACGACGACGCCGACGACGACGACGGCGACGCCGACGACGACGACGGCGACGCCGACGACGAGGGAGGAGGGAATACGACGACGACGACAGCGACGAAATAGGAGGGACGACGACGAGACGCCGACGACGGACGACGACGACGAGGGAAGAGGAGGACGACCACGGCGACAACGACGACGGAAACGACGACGACGCCAAAGAGGACCACGACGTCATCGTCACGCGCTGGACGACAACGACGACGAGGAAAGACAAAGGACGACGACGGCGACGACGACGAAGACGACGAGGGAGGAGGGAGGACGGCGACGACGACGACGACGCAAGAGCGTGCGCGCGCACGCTTTTGTTGAAATGTTTACAATGTGTGTTGGACACTCTATTTAAACATCCTTCCGAAACCGAAGGAGTTTGAAGGATTTCGGCATGCGCGACGACGCGCGCGCGTATGCACTTCGTCACATGTTGTGCAAAGGATGCTCGCGACGGCACGCGCGCAAGGGCGTTCGAAACTTTTCGACATAGGCGCGCGCGAAGCCCGTTTGGTAATATGTCTTGAAAACCTTGCGCAACCCCTGGTTTTCTTATGCTTTCGCAAGAACGCGCGCGTATAATCTTTTTTTAGAAAACCCGTGTTGCAAAACCCTGTGTTTTCGTATGTGTTCTGGAAGCTCTATTTTGAAATCCGTCAGTGCTTCTGTATATGGTTTGGAAACTCTACTTTATAATCCTTCCAGAACCGAAGGTGATTGAAGGATTTCGGCATGCGCGCGCGATGACGCGCGCGTGTGCACTGCGCAATTATTTTGTTGCAAGGGATTATTGAAACTTCTGATTTGTGATAAACGAATGCGCGCGCTTAAAATTTGTTGCAGAGCATGGCGGGGGGGTCGATACCCGGCTGGCTGGGATAGTGTGAACTCACAGGTAGGATGGACATTGGGGCAGAGACCTATGTGTTTTACATCGGCTCCCGGGGGATATGTAATCCCGGGGGGGGGGAGAGTGGTAGAACCTTTTCTATTTCTAGAAAGCAGGATCAATCACTTCCTCAACTGGAAGCTGTCCTCTCCACTGATCGTGCAAACATCCCACCCTCCCACCCGCAACTTGGTCGCAAGACCTCGTAAGACCGTGACGGTAGGTACCAAAGTGCACTTGGCAACGACACCGGCGCCGACGACGGCAGCGACAACGACGACGACGACGCCGCCGCAGACACCGACTACGACGACACCGACGACGTGTCCAACGACAACGACGACGACGACAAAGACGACGATGACGACGACGGCGACGACGACGACGACAACGACGACGCCGACGCCGACGACAACGATGACAACGCCGACAACGACGACGACGCTGACGCCGACGACGACGCCGACGACGACGACGGCGACGACGACGAAGACGACGACGACGACGTCGCCAACGAAGACGACGACGACGAGGGAGGAGGGACAACCGAAGACGACCGCTGAATATGCTCAGGCTCGAATGTTACTGATGTGTTTGGAGGGTGGGTGGAAGTGAGCTAGACGGCTTGCTATCTAGGAGGGTGTCTTAACCCCCCCTACCCCTCCCCTGGGCCTGGAAGGGGGGTCGATGTGCCAAAGGGTGCGTTTTGGTCCAAGACGGCTCCAGGAGGGCCTCCAAGAAGGGCCAAGATGCCTACAGACGGCTCAATATAGCCTCCGACGCACGTCTAAAGGACCTCAAGATGGCTCCAAGACGAGTTTTAGTACCCGCCTAGCCCTTCAAGGACTGACGTGGCTCCCAAACCGAAGGACAATCGATGCTGGTTGGCTGAGCGGTTCTCGCGTCCGATGGGCTTTTCAGGCCTCAAGATGGCCCCAAGACGGCCCAAGAGAGACCCAAGAAGCCATGTTTGAGCATCCGAGGGGGGAACCGTATTAATAAACCCATCTGCTTGAGCCATGGGGCCCAATTGCCCAGACCCCTCCAATGAGCCCCAAGGGGACCCCAAGACCATCAAAACGAGTCCCAAGAAGGCCCTAAGGGGACTCCAAGAGAGCCCCCAAGATGCTAACTCGCCATCCAAGATCCAATATGTACATCATATCTGCAAAGCCCGACTTCTCGTCCTCCTTGTCATAGCCAATTCCTTACCTCCTCCTTTCCTGCATCCTCCCTCTCCTCCTTTTCTTCCTTCTCATCCTCCTCTTCCTCGTGCCGCTTTCCTCCTGCTACTCGTGTTCCCCCTCCTCCTCCTTGTCTGTTGTTCCTCCTCCTCCTCCTCCTCCTCCTCCTCCTCCTCCTCCTCCTCCTCCTCCTCCTTCCCCTACCCCAACGATGGTCCCAGGAGTCAATATGGCCCCCGGCAAACCTCTCAGGATGGCTCAAGGTAGCTAAGCATGGCTCACGATGGCATCCGACAGCCTCTGACCGAGCATGGCTCAAGATAGCCTCCGAGAGGCCCCAATGAAGCCTCCGGTCGTGTCGGGATGGGCTGGTAGGGGCACGAGAAGCGTCGTGACATCCGAATGTTTGGAAATATACATGTATTTGTCGCAATCTATGCTGTGCAATCTGGGCGGCGACGAGGCGGCGACGGCGAGCGCAGAGCCGCAAGACCGACAATCAGGACCAGGCCCAGACGACGGGCGGCGACCAGGCGGCGGCGGCGAGCACGAAGCCGCCAGACCAGTATTCAGGTCCCGACGACGGGCGGCGACGAAGCGGCGACGGCGAGCACTGAGCCGCAAGACAGTCGTGCAGGGCCAGTTCCCCGAGGAGAAGTAGAAACCCCTCAGTGCGAGCAATGCTTGTGGAACCCTCACGTCCACGTCGAAGCCTCAAATTAGGGCAAATCCGCGTCGAACCAACAAACCTACGCCGAACACATCTGCCCTCCAATGAAAACAAGCACGTCTCACGCGAGAACAATCATAACAACCAAAAAAAGCACTTCCTCTTCCTCCTCGTCCTCCTTTTCCTCCTCCTCCTCTTCCCCCTCCCCCTCCCCCTCCCTCCTCATCTGCCCTCCAATCGTCTCCCCCTCACTTCCTCGTCCCCTCGTCCCCTTTTCCCCTCTCCTCCATTTTCCCCCTACCCCCCTCCCCCTCCTCCCCCCCCCCCTCCCCTTCCCCCTCCCCGTCCCCCTCCCCTCCCCCTCCCTCCTCCTCCTCCTCCTCCTCCTCCTCCTCCTCCTCCTCCTCCTCCTCGTCCTCGTCCTCGTCCTCGTCCTCGTCCTCGTCCTCGTCCTCGTCCTCGTCCTCGTCCTCGTCCTCCTCCTGTGCCACTGGGTGCCCTCGGGCGCCCCAGGAAAACAGGCGGGTCGCAGCCCGATCGTCACCCCTGTTTGCCCGTAGTGAGCCAGGGGGAAAGAAAATCCTGTCGGACCGCGCGTTGAGCAACGCAAGTGGTCGGCGCCCACCCGCCACCATTGGGCACGTGGGACAAGAGGCGCCGTCAGGTTGGCCCAATCTGGACTTCTCCAATGGCTCGCCTGGCAGGGGCGCCGACGCCAACCCGCGCGCAGCGCGACAGGGAGGACGAGGGTGGGCAACGAGAGGCAAGCGCGAGCCGCGTTTACCCCCCACACGTGGCAACGAAAGCACCGGCAGTACGCAGAGTGGCGACGAGGGCACCGACGACGCCCAACTGAAATTGCCGACCCACGCAGCGACCAGCGCTGAGGCGTTTGAACGGTAGCCGCCGCTCTGGCGAGAGGAGCACAGCGCCTGCCGCAGGTGCTACCCGAGCACGAGGGCCAGCCCCGCGGGCCGACAGGCCCGCCAACCAATCAACCAACCAAACGCCAGCAACAGAAGCGGAGGACAAAGCGGAAGGAGGCAGGGCGTGGCATCCCCACGCCAGATCCGCCGGCCAGCGGCCACCGACTGTGAGAAGGGTCCACCGCGCCGTCAGGGCACTGCCAAGCAGTGAGAGCGAGCAACGAAGGCTGCAGAAGCTCCGAGGGGACGAGGCATCCCAGGGGCCCGCTCCCAGGATTTCCCTTCCCCCCAAATCGCTCCGAGATTTCGGGGCGGTGCAAATCCTGTCGCGCCGCGCCTTGAGCAACGCTAGTGGTCGGCGCCCCCGCGCCGCCGCTGGGCACGCGGGACAAGTGGCGCCGCGAGGTCGGCCCAATCTGGAATTCTCCAATGGCCCAATGCATCCAGAGTGGGGTTGCCAAGGCGGCGGATCTGCCGACGAGGCCGACATGGACTGATGCACTTCGGACATCCTTTTTCCAAGCGCCCATTGCATCCGAACGGATCTGGACACCGGCGGCCCGCGGCTTAGCCGGCGCGCTGACCTTCGCCCCCGCTGGACTCGGAAAGCTCTGCAAGCCACTCGACCGCTGCCAATTCCCCACGAGACTGCGCCGCGGCGTACCAAAACGCCGCCACGCCACGTCAGCCCCCTGACTGCACGCAATGCGTCGTTTGCGAAGCCTCTCCTGAGAGCGCGCGTGCCCCAATGCTGCGCGTCTGGTAGTTGTGGGGCCGAAGCTGCAGCCTTCAGAAAAGCAAGGGCCTCCGGGTACGTGATGTGCGCGAATGGGGCGCCAGCGGCCTGAGCTGCCTCGCGCAAAGCGCATGCTCCGCGCGGCAGCCGCCTCCCACCAGCACACAAGCACTTGCGCGCGACATCCACCGGCACTCTGAAGCACTTCCGCCTCCTGAAAGTAAGGATCGCTCCTGCATCGCCGCCGTCGCCGTTGAACCGGAAGGGTGCGAGCTCTGAGCCCGGCGACAGTGTCTCAGAATACCTGAAGCAAAAATGGCGCGAGATCCCCCAAGACCTGGCCAAAACAAAACGCCCTGCGCGCGAGGCCCAATCCGCCAGCAGTTTCGTTCGGGCTGCCGATGCCCACGCCTTTGGGCACACATGCGACGCGAACGCCTTGTCTGCTCCACGAACAATTCTCTCCATTTCAGCAAGTTCCCCAAGAGGGACGCGCAACAAAGCCACCACTGAACGAATATGAGACAAGTAACGTCCCAGAGAAGCGCTGCTGCGGAACAAGCATGCAAATACCGGCACGGTTGAATGACCCGCCGGCCAGGGCGGCTCGCACGCAAGCGCAGCAGCTTCACCCCACAGTTGAACTGCACTCGCGTACTGCGGAGCGCTTTTCCTCCACCCACAAAATTCAATCCACGCTGCCTGCTTTTGAAGGTCAATAAGTGCTGCCTGTTCCGTCCGCGCTCTCTTCAGAGCCGCTCGAGAAAGAATGTCGGACCCAAAAAGATTTTCGGTAATCGGCTCATGTAACGAGAGACAAACGCGAACCGAGTCAACCCCCCACACGTGGCAACGAAAGCACCGGCACTACGCAGAGAGGCGACGAGGGCACCAGCGACGCCCAACTGAAATTGCCGACCCACGCAGCGACCAGCGCTGAGGCGTTTGAGCGGTAGCCGGCGCTCTGGCGAGAGGAGCACAGCGCCTGCCGCAGGTGCTACCCGAGCACGAGGGCCAGCCCCGCGGGCCGACAGGCCCGCCAACCAATCAACCAACCAAACGCCAGCAACAGAAGCGGAGGACAAAGCGGAAGGAGGCAGGGCGTGGCATCCCCACGCCAGATCCGCCGGCCAGCGGCCACCGACTGTGAGAAGGGTCCACCGCGCCGTCAGGGCACTGCCAAGCAGTGAGAGCGAGCAACGAAGGCTGTAGAAGCCCCGAGGGGAAGAGGCCACCCAGGGGCCCGCTCCCAGGATTTTCCTGCCCCCCAAATCGCTCCGAGATTTTGGGGCGATGGAAATTGCCCCTCGTCGCCATGGTTTCCCACCCCTTGCGGTGGCCTGGCAGGTACACCGCGTGCGCCTGGGCGGATGGGGGGTCCCCTGCGGGGGGCTCATGGTGGATCCACACCGGTTACTCCCACGGTCAAGGTCCCCCGCCCTGGCGTGCGTGGGGGTGTGCGGTCGCCCGAGGGAGTGGCGCCCTTCGGGTGGCTTATCGGGGCGGCACGCCGAGTGGCGTGTCGCTATGTGAGGGCAAGGCGCCCGCCGCCTCGGAATTGTCAGAACGCGCGGCGCGCCAAGGGGCACGCTGTGCGCGGCGCGCCAAAGTGCGTGTCGCCTGTTCCGCTTTTGGTGGTTTGGCCAGGAAGGAGCGAACATCTTAATGATGGAGGGACTCATTCGCGGTATCACGTTTTCTCGTGTTCCACAAGCTTCTTGGCGGGCTCCACGGGTGCGCCGCCTGTCCCTCGTAGCCGCGCTGCTCATCGTGATCACGGGGTGCTTCACGGAAATCCTCCTCCTTATCCTCCTCCTCCTCCTCCTCCTCCTCCTCCTCCTCCTCCTCCTCCTCCTCCTCTCTCCCCCTCCTCCTCCTCCCTCTCCCCCTCCTCCCCCTCCTCCTCCCTCCTCCTCCCTCCTCCTCCCCTCCTCCCCCCTCCCCCTCCTCCTCCTCCTCCTCCTCCTCCTCCTCCACCTCCTCCTCCTCCTCCTCCTCCACCTCCTCCTCCTCCTCCCATGTGAGAACAACTGCAACCTCAGGACCGCGGCGACATGCGGTGCCCCCGGGACAGAGATCCTCCAGCTCGGACGCTCGAGCACGGGATCGATCACTCTCAGGTCGGGCATTTCCCCCTACAGGCCGATGGTCGACGAACAATGCAAAAACAAACACCAACAATGCGCCAAAATGGCCACAAGTAGTCACCGGCCCGACTGAAGACTACTCTCCTGGTCTCGGTGCGCGCTCTGCGGACGCTGTGAAACGAACGCCGAAACAGGGTCCAGTTGAGGACCCGAACAAGTCAGCTCGCAAATCGCCACCTGCATCAGGTTGGGCATGCCCCCCTACAGACCGATTTCGAGGGAAAATTTTGAAATAGTCAAACAATACTCAGCCATGGTCAAAAACAGTGAAACAAACGTTCACAGACGATGTTTTGACTATTTGTGTATATTCCTTCTGTAGAGAGACAAGCCCGACTGAGCACTTACACGGTCCTTCAGCCTCACCTTGCAGCTTCTGTGTCATTTCTCACACCGTTTCGCCACCGCCCCCCCCCCTCCGTGTTTGGCGCAGCATGGGGGAGATCGAATGTCAATCCCGCCGATGCTCTCAGGTCGAATGCAGAGCTGACGCGGGTCTCAAAATCTGCCTCACCCTTGTTTCCCGCTCTCCGAATCCCCCATGTCCCCGCCCAAGCCCCCGCTCTGCTGGAGAAGCATTGAACGGGGTCAGGTGTTGCTCAAAGCAACATGCGGGAACAATGAAGTGCTTGTTTTCCAACGAGAAAGGCGCCCATGCACCATACCACAGTTTGACTCCCTTCAGGTCTCGCCCTAATGCGGTACTGTGCAAAATTGCTCGGCTCTGAGGACAGGAAAAACATGTGCACCGCACAATCCCTGGGTCGAAGATCGACGACGCCGCGGAGACGCCAACGCAGAGCGCTGCACACAAGCCGCCCGCGGATGTCTCTTCTGCCTGCAGGAACATCATGAAACACCTGTTTCGCAGCGGCTTCCGGCGCCGTACGGTCCGATCGGCTGTCAACTCGGGGGCGGTCAAGAGGGGGGTGTCCAAGAGGGGGGGGGGCGTATCATGGCCGGCGGCACGTGCGCGGCCCAGGGGGGTGGCCAGGCACGTAGTGAGATAAGAAGAGGCGCCATGAGCTCTGGGGGAATTTCATGGCCCCCGCCGTGACATCCACCCCCACCTATAGGGGGCCACATGCGAACCCTACCCCTACCCCCCACGATTTCTGAGGGGGAGGGTGGGGTTCACTTCGTGGGGGGTAGGGGTAGGGTTCGCATGTGCCCCCCCCTTAGCCATCACCCCCCTCTTGGCCGCCCCCGGTCAACACGGATCACACCCGAGAGCACGGCCTGGACCGTCCTTCCCGCTGGAGCCCTGCTGCGCCGCGGGCGGCGCGTGCTCCCCGTTCACGACCGGGACCTGAGGGCGGGCTGGAGCGTGCCGGCGTCAGGTCGGGCCTGTCCCCCTACAGGCGGATTGGGGGCGACAAATCAAACATATTCCACAAATGCCCCGAAATAGTCCAAAAATGCTCAAACAATCGTCCCCATTATGGGAACCCCATATTATATTGGACTATACCAAAAACCCCCAAAATGCAATATGATTATACCTCATTTGACTATACTTAATTTGAGCATGTCGCTCCTCATACAATCCCCCAAAATACCCCAAACATAATCAAAACTGCTCAAAATTAGTATGGGGACCCCATGCGATGTTTGACTATTTTTGAACAATTCCTCTTGTAGAGGGACACGCCCGGCTTCATGCTGGCGGCGCGCGCATGAGACGCACGAGCGGCGACTGTGTCCGCATCCGCGCTCGCGCTGCCTGCGCTCCGGGGCACGATTCTCAAGGAGCCCAAGGACACACACAGATGTACACACACACACACACAAACAGCAGGATTCCCAACATTTTCGCATATTTCCTGGGTGTTCGCCTGCCCACCCAAAGCCCCATAGTTTCCCACATTTTCCGGGGAGCCAGCGATTCATAGTATATGTGTGTTTCTGTCTCTCCTGAGGCTCCTGGATCCCGGCCCCCCGTTCTTGGAATTGCCGCCGTCGTCCGCCGCTGCTCCTCCTGCTTTTCCTCCCGTTGCTCCGTCTCCTCCTGCTCCTCCTGTTGCTACCGCCGCTCCGACGCTGCGCCCACCGCCCACGGCCTGACGATATCAGTGTACACACGCTGTCCGAGACTGCTCTGCTCAGTCAGAACATGTGGAAAAGTATTGAAATTCGAGGAGGAGGATCTATTATTATATATAAATCGCAAACGTAGATGATGCGCAGTTGTGACGGTGACGGTGATGAGCGTGTGTGTTCTATAATGTCGATGCGTGGTTTGGTGATTTGTGATGTAGATGTATTCGGACCTGTAGGTGTTAGCGTCATTGTCGCGTCGGATTCGCATGCCGATTGTGTGGATTTGATCGGTTCGATCGTCGCGCTCGATGGTTAGTGCTCCCGTCTGACGATCGTCGCGGGCGTCGATCCTAGCCGTCAGGTGTTCTAAAGATAGAAAATAAAAACAAAAATGCTCCCAAAATAATCCAAAATACGCCAGGTGCCACGGCGGTTCCAGAGCGCTCCGGAACGCCTGACCGTTTTGGAACGCGACCCATTCCGGACTTTTGTCGCAACGTTGGCCCATGGAAATCCGAACCCCTCCCCTACGGACCGGATCTTCGTACCGACATGTTTTGTCATTGCCGTGGGGCCTCGCGAGGTTCTCAGGACGCCCTGAATGGATGACATCTCCCAGGAGGGGAAAGGCAAAAATACGCGCGTCGGGGAGGTGGAGGGGCTGGTCCTTGCCCCGCTCTTCCGCCCCCCTTCGGGAGGTGGCGGCCGAGCCCCACGCAGCAGATGGCGCCGTGTCGAACTGGAAGGTGCTCTCCGGCTCGCCCGCCTCGGCACAGCACTGGGGGGGGGTGCTGCGGACGGAGCCTCACAGACCGCCCATCCCTCTCCTCTTGTTGTATATCCTCTCTTTGTACACTCGACCAAAATAACAAGGATGCGCGGTAAGGATGCAAGGGCCTTGGAACGCCATGTTGACGTTTTCCGTGCGGAGCGCAGCAGAATACCGAATGATGCCGAATAACTACCGAAGAGGTACGGATGCAAGGGTAGCCTTGGAAAGTTGCCCCATCCTTACTATCATGGTCGACTGTATATGCTCCACGGCGTAAGCATAAACTTTCAGAGCCCTGCGCTGATGTCTTGGATCGGTGCCAGACCCCCATCCCTGGCGCGCGTGCCGCGCCAGGGACGGTGCCGGAGGCGCCGCCAGGGGGTTCCAGGAGCGCGTTTCTTTATCATCGGCGATGACGGGCGTCAGGGGAGAGGGGAGGGGGCGGGGAGGGGTATGACGTAACGCCCCCCCCCGCCGTGCGGCTCCGGCACCACAGCCGCGCCCGCGCGCACGACGACGATGAGCGACGAGCGACGAGCGACGAGCGACGAGCGACGAGCGACGACGACCACGACGACGCGAGCAGCATGCAGGGTGCGATCTGCCTAGCAGCGCCTGTGTACACCACAATGCTCGCGTGTACCACAGCGCTTGTGTACACCACAGCGCCTGCATACACCGCAACAGCCGTGTGCAACGCAGCACCTGTGTACACCACAGTGCTTGCGTGCACCACAGCGCCGGTGTACACCACAGCGAATGTGTACACCGCAGCAGTCATGTGCAACACAGCGACTATCAACACCACAATGCTTATGTGCACCGCAGCGCCTGTGCACACCACGGCGCCTGTCTACACCACAGCATCCGCGTGCAACGCAGCGCTGGTGTACACCAGAGCGCCTGCGTGCACAGGACAGGTAGAAGGAGCGTGTCGGTGAGGATCTCGTGAGGACAGCTGAACGCCACGCCAAGGAAATGCTGAGGATGGGATGCGACGTTTTTCCCTCCTCCCTCCCCCACCTCCGCCTCCTCCTCCTGCTCCTCCTCCTCGTACTCCTTCTCCTCCTCCTCCTCATCCTCGTCCTCCCTCACCCTTCCCCCCTGTCGTGCGGGTCGGCAGTACAGCGCACGTGCGCGTCTCAGCGTGCACCGCAGACTGGTCTACTGGTGTCGTGCTGAATACACGCAGGCATTGTGGTGTACACTGGTGCTGAGTTGCACACGGCTGATGTGGTGTACGCAGGCGCTGTGGTTTACACAAGCGCTGTGGTGACAACAGGCACTGTGGCACACATCGGCGCTGTGATGCACGCGGCTGCTATGGTGCACATGGGCAGTGTGGTGTACACAAGCGCTGTGGTGCACGCAGGCACTATGGTGTACACAGGCGTTGTAATGCAGATCGCCACCGACATGCTTCGGATACCCGACCTCGGTGATTCCTAGCCATTCCCAGACGCCGCCGGCACAAATCGTGACGTCATCGGCCCCTTCCAACCCCCCCAAATGATTGCCGTCATCGGCCAGGAAATTTTTTGTTTTCAAAAGTGCTCCAGCTGCGTCCGCGCGCACGACGACGATGAGCGACGAGCGACGAGCGACGACGACGACGACGGCGACGACGACGGCCCACCAAACTCCTATGCGGATTCCTACGCGGATCACGATGCGCACGGCGGCAGTGCCCGAATCGCACCGGGATGGAGAACGTTACGTCATAGGGGGGGTAACGGGGGCCAGGGGGCCATGACGCCCGTCATGCCTCAAGCAATGAAGACACAGGCTCCAACGCAGGTGCACGAAACCCGCGCGGAGCTCCGAAAAGGGATGCTTATGCTGTTGTTCTTCTTCGGCTTCTCTCTCGTCTATCTGCGTCGTGTTGTTTGTTCCTCCGATCCTGCATCCGCCAGGTGCTCTATCCTCGAATAGCCGACCTTGACAGGGTGGTGGGACAAACCGCGTACTCTATTTCGCATGGGTCCTGCGGAAAACGGGTCCTGGACCCCAGGGCCCTCCCGCCAGGACGAGTTCTGCATCCTGTATTGTTTTCTGGCAGTGCCGGGGCCCGGAGGGTCTGGAGAGCCCGAAAGCACTAAAGAAAAACCAGGCGCTCCCAGGCGCTCTCAGCATTGGTTTCCCGCAGGACCCTCACTTTCACTGCAATGTGATAGCTTCATCAACCTCCACCGACGATGTCTTCTTCGCGGCACCGCGCCTCCCCTCAATAACCGCAGCCAGAAGAGGAGCTCTTGGGAGCGCTGTGCCTGCTAACCCGTCGAGGACTTGACCCATCGAGGCGAAAAACCTCGGGACCTGTTCTTCTCAGGACCCGTTTCCCTCAGGACCCGTTTTGACGAACGAGCAATCGTAAAACCCGTAGATAATGAAGTTCGGGGGTCTAGCGAGTATAATCAACGATTTGCCCGGGGAGGCCAAGGCATCTGAAGACAGTTTTTTTATGTTTTGGGGTAGCGGCTGTTACCCGAGGGGGGGGAGGGTTTGGGCCGGCGGGTGACCGACGGTAACGGCGGCCGCGGCGTGCGCCCGCCAGGGTGCGTCCGCGCCATCGGCACATCAATTGCCATACCTACTGAGAGGACGGGGTCCGCCCTCCACCCCCAACAAAAAAACGATCGTTCGCATTACCGGGGGGGGGGGGCCGGGGTACCCAGCGTCACCCGCCAGAGGAAAAATAACGCTCTCCTGAAAGATGATACACTGGAGGCCCGACCACAAGAAACCTTCCACACGAAACCCAACCCTTAGACCCCAGGACGTCCCTCGATTTTTGGTGCGGGAGCCTCCCGCCTTCCCTCGCAAAACCATCGAAACCCAAGAATCCCAGGGCACCCTGGAGACAAGCAGGGTGTTTCTTGGCATGGGCCGCCACGTATCTAGGCTCCAATCGTACTTAAGGACCACATCCCAGAAATAATTTCGAGCGCCCGGAAAAGTGTCCAGGGCCCGACACGTGAAAACCTTCGAGCTTTGGGGTACTGGTTTGGTGCGCGAAATTCTTTCTGGTGACCAAGGCTAAAGCAAGGTGGAACATCGTAACCCCGGCCATGATGTCCCCCTGGTATTCACCCCCCTCTTGGATGCCCCCGGCGTGGGCGGGGGGGCCCTCCCAGGGGCCCAGCCCGAACCGCTCTCTCCTGTCAAATGAAAAGACGAATGACGGAGCTCCAATAAAAAGACAAGGGAGCGACGATCAAACACGAGCCTCGCGAGAGATGGTACAGCGACTTCAAGTACGCGGTGGCTCACGAGGGCCACCAGCGCGGCACGCTGCACTGGTGACGAGGGCGCTCACGCGCGACCTTGGGCAGGAGAGCCCAGAATCGAATCGATAAGTAGGATCGGCGATCGAAATGAATCGGATCGGCGGAAATCGGCAGCCGAGTCGGGAAAAGTCGGATCGGCAGACATCGGCTGGCTAGTAGGCCTCCAATAAGAAATCGGAGCCCAAGTCGGAATCCCAAGTCGAATCGAATCGGAATCGGAAGCCATCGAAATCGAATCGAATCGAATCGGAGGAATCGAAACGAGCCCTGTTGGGCGGGCCACATGCGCGTCAACGTCGGCGCAGACGGCTCCGTTTTTCGCTTGCGTCGCTGGGGTGCCTGCGCGCGACCTCGCGCGGGCAGCATGCGCGCCAGCGTCGGCGCAGACGACTCCGAGTGCTCGCGTCGCTCCAGTGGGACCAGTCCGTAAATCCAGAATCTAGAAACTTCAAGCTCCCCTTCAACGATTCGAGGAGCAAAACGAATATCAGTTGGACGCCACCGTGGGGAAACCCACCGGCGTGTTGCTGGGGAGGCAGAGCCAGGCATTCGGCCAAAAGCCAAGGAGCAACACGCTGGCAGGCAACCAACGGCGGCGCATCATTGACACATGCTTCCCCCTCACACGAGACCCAAATCTCCGACTGCGTTATTTGTTTCACAATGCGGACTCCCAGAGGTCTTCGTTTCGTTTGCGCTGCTTCAGGGGAGCGTCTGGAGCCAGAGATGCATCAAGGAAAAGTCAGCCAATACGATTGGGCGACATATGCGTGTGAAAAGGTGCCACCTTAAGGCCACGACGGCTCGGCACAGGTGCCACCTTAAGGCCACGACGGCTCGGCACGACCTGTCAGAGAGGCGCCTGCTCGCTCAGACTCAGGAGTTGCACGGGCCCCTGTTCGGCCATCTATGGGGCCGGGAGAAGAGGACAGGAAAGGAAGGATCTGTGGCTGATCCCAGAGGCCTGGAGCCCAGCGAGGGCCCGTGGTGGACGCCAGTAATGGCCCCAAATCTCCAGTCGCTGTTTTTCGCAACGAGAAGATGGGGGAATCCCGAACACTGAAATACGGGGTTTCTCTCAACACTGCCATCTGCCAGCCTTCCTCGGGCGTTGGGCTTAGTGTGACCTAGTCTAATAATGTGTGCCAAGAGACGCCCCCAAAAAAAACATTCCACAAAGCGGCACCGCCGTCACCCGAAGAAACACAAGCTACGGCAGACTTTGGTTTCAAGATTGTGGCATGTTATTCATCCTGGATCGTTCTTTGACGGTCATCGAATATGGTGCCGAAGCTGGCCGATGACCGCCCGTCGTGATGTTCCCACAACGGTCGAAGCGGTATCGCGGCGCCCGCCAGCGGATCGGGCCGCATCACATCGCATCGTTTAGGCGGCCAACTGCCTGCCTTAGCTGACAGTTCACGGGATGACGAATGAAGCCGAACCTGCGTCAATCAACGTCCAACGCTTCCGCGTGCTACCATGCAATACGCTGGAACATGCATTTCCCCTGTCCACCTCTTCACCCCTTCCTTTCTCTCCCCGTTCCGTCCCGTCCCTTCCCTAACCCGACTCGAACTTCTTCCCATCTTTAAAATTGACGAGCCCAAATGCAACGACAATCTTGGGGATGCGCCCTCAGCAACTGAGGGAATCGTCCAGCTCGACATCGAGGTAGGGTGATGCCGATCACTGGCACGGGTATCTGTTTCAGGCTGGTAGTGCCCCTTCCCACCCCCAGCGCCACGAGCGTCCCCCCCTCCCCTCCCCGCAACAATTGCCGCTCACCCACGTATCGGCGACTCCTAAGGGTGTGGCTTGCAGAAGGTGCGGATTGCAACCCGCACCCTGGGGTTCGGTCGGACATGTCGTCCTACAGGCGGATCTGGGACGAAATATTCAAAACATTAAAAAATACCCCCCAACTGTGAAAAATACTACAAAAATCGTCCCCAGACTATTTCGTTGACTATTTTTGGATGTCCCCCCTGTAGAGGGACAGGCCCGACGTAATCCCAAGGGTGTGGCTTGCAGAGGGTGCGTTTTGCAAGCCGCACCCTGGGGTGGGTGGGTGGGTGGGCGAAGACCTCGGTGGAGATCTCTCCGCCGCGCGACCGGGAGGCCCGACGAGGGCAGCGCGGTGCCCCCCAACTTCTGGGGGGGGGGGCTCCGCTCGGGGGGAGAGAAAGGGTGGGATAGCAAAGGGTAGGGGTCGTGGTCGTGGTCGTCGTGATCGTGGTCGTGGTCGTCGTGATCGTGGTCGTGGTCGTGGTCGTGGTCGTGGTCGTGGTCGTGGTCAGCGTCTTCGTCGTCGTCGTCGTGGTCGTGAGCAGCTATTGGAGCGCGTGCCAAGGCTGGAACACCGACGAGAATCGGAGGGAACGAAAGGGGGGGATAGCAAAGGGTAGGGTAGAGAATCAGCTCACGCAGCTGATTCTCCCAGCGCCCCCTGGCGCCGGGAGGCGCACATGTTGTCGTGGAGTGGGCCCCGCGGCGGGGCCGAAACCAGCTGCATGCAACATATTTCGTCAGCCCCCCTTTCCCTACCCCCCCCCCTCTGGCCATCGCTCGGACGTCCATTCCCTGTGTTTTTTTCGATATCGTGCGTGGTTTTGTTCGCCGAATGATCAAGGATGCTCCTCGATGGCCCTCGCCGAAAGAAAAATGCACACGTCCGAGCGATGCCAAGACCCCTGCGCAACCACACCCTCTGCGATCGCTGGCCACAGCCCGGGGCGCCCGGAGGCGGCGGGGGCCTCTGCCGGCGCAGGGCCCGGTCGCGGCGGGTGCCGGAGGAACCCCACGCCGTCCTTGGCTCCGGGGCATCTCTGGGGGGAGGGGGGGGGCTCCACGCTCCGCCCTGCTGCCGCTCCACCCTCCTCCTTCTGCCGAACCGGTTCCTCCTCCTCCTCCTCCTCGTCCTCCTCCTCCTCCTCCTCTCCTCCTCTTCGTCGTCGTCGTCCTCCTCCTCGTTCCTCCTCGTTCCTCCTCCTCGTTCCTCCTCCTCCTCCTCCTCCTCCTCCTCCTCCTCGTTCCTCCTCCTCGCAGAACTGTGCAAGCGCGACGTCTTTGGCAACTTTCGGTCCCCAAACGCCCTCACCTGGCCGTAGAAAGTCAAAAAACAAGTCGGGATGAGGAAGGGGCCCAGATCTCTGGGGGTCCAAGTTGCGAAAAAAATCACAACGTCGGAAAGACGGGTTGCTTCCCGTGGTCGCCCTCGTTTTTGGCTTTCCTCTTCCTGCTCTGCTCCAGCGCATCCACCTCTTCCTCCTCCTCCTCCTCCTCCACCTCTTCCTCCTTCCTCCTCTTCCTCCTTGGCGCCCGCCTCGTCCGTTTCAACCATCGAGGACCACCAAAAATATGAATCGCAAGCGAAAAAAACAAAGTGGACGGACCGAGCACCCGACGAAGGTCACACATGCGTGTAAACTCAGAAATGGGTGAACCTTCGAGGAACATGTTCAAACATATCGCATGGGCACGACAGGTTGGGCAGCCGAGAGGAGGAGGAGGAGGAGAAGAAGGAGGAGGAGGAGGAGGAAAGGCGAGGAGGAGGAGGAGGACGAGGAGGAGGAAGAGGAGGAAAAAGAGCACAAGGCACGAGGCACAGGCGGATGCATAAACACGTTGCACCTGCATCTCCTTGAAGAGCCCAATCACAGTTCATATTACCGGGCTTCACATTACAAACATCAAAGAGCCAACGCACGAGCATGCGTGCAACATGATCGTACACATGGTAACTCAGTCCAATATATGAGGCGCGGAGAAAAACGTAGCGCAACGCTAACGACGCACAGCAATGCAAATCTCAAGGCAATGGAGCGGCAACGGGGCGGCCATGAGCCGGCAACGCGGCGGCAGCGGGGCGAGCGTGAAAATTCCGTGCCCTGTTCCTCACAAGCAATGTGAAACCCCTTCGTGCAAGCACCGTTTGGGGAATGTCAAAACTGGGTTATACAGATATACAGAATAACGCGCTTCCCCCATCTGACACTGGATACAACACAGGTCGCTCGGATATGTGTGGGCTGGTTTGAAATCGTGCGCAGCAGTGTTCAAAAGTGTTCGCCATGTTCAGCGCTGTTACGCCTCCCCCAAAGATGCCTGGCATACGAGAATGCACATACATTTATAACAAGCAAAGGCACACATGACACGCACGAACATACATCTCTATATATATACACATAATATATATACATCTACACATACAGTGAAAACATATAGTAAGGACGCGTGGTAAGGACGCAAGACCCTTGGAGGCCGAAGTTGAAGTATTCTGGGCGGCAGGCGCCCGAACCCCCAGGGAACCTAAGAAACTGGCCTGCGAAAATGGCCAGGGACGGGCCGCAGAGGCTGAGGCAGGCAAAGACCCAAGGGTACCTTTGGAAAATTCGTTCGCCCTTACTATGCGTGTGGACTGTACATATGTGTGTGCTCGCCCCTCCCGCCAGCACCCCTCCGATGTCCTTTTGATCCCAGCTCATATGTGCTCCGATGTCATTATCTTTGAGTTTGCAGAGAAGGGTTTGGCCACATGTTGGCCTCCTGATAAAGGTGAACCCTAATTAAGGCGCGCCCTTCCTTTGATCGATCTCCTCCTAGATATCCCCAAAACGGCCGCCGAAGTCCGCAAGGGTGCCCAACAAAACCGTGAGAGGTGCCCGGGGATGGTGGAATTTTACCAGGGCCGGGCTGGGGACCGGGGGCTGGAGACTGGGGGCCGGGGACCAGGGACCAGAGGCTGGTGTATACATATTTCGTCGTTTCCCTGGGAAGACGGGGACAAATATACACCACACCAACTCGACGTCATCCCCGACCCTCGAAAAGTCCTGGGATTGAAAAACAGCCCGCCACTGGTAATGTATCTGCTCCAATTTCCGACTTGCACCGTCTGGGCGGCCTATTGGGACCCTCTTGGCCCGTCTGCGGGCCCAAAGCAGTCATGCGACCAGCCGCAGCGCGCCCCGGAGGGCACGCGGCGAAACCCCAACAGATTTGGCGACTCGACAGACTTCCGTCTGCGATCGACGTGATGATCGCGCCTCTCAATGGCTCCCCTTGGTTGCTGGCGCTGACTACAACGCTGCAACTGCTGGCATGGGGTGGACGGACGCTGAGGGAACAGACACATGTCGATACCGACACTCCGACTACGACACTCCGACTAGAACTTCGAGAATAATCCAGCTTCTGCGACGTGGAAAGGGTGGCGGCATCGGCAATGTCTACTCCTCTGAAATGTGATGGGGTGAAGGGGTGCGCGGGGGACGGGAATCGCAACCAGAGCTCGAAGGCAACTTGAAACACTCGATATGCGTACGAACGAATGGCACGATGCCTACAACGGCCGCCCAACAACTGGTACGATGCCCAAAGCAGATTGCCCGCAAACAAACAGCGCGATGGCGGGCAGGCGACTATACCAAATTGACAGCGTCCGCGGTCAAGCCAACAAGGAGCCCTGTTCAAAACGGACAAGAATTGCTCTCTGTGTCACAACTATTTCCGCACCTTCTGTGGCAACTCAGGGGATCCTTCCATGGCATCTTGCTCGCTCTTGCGAATCGGACGCTCACCGACGTGAATCGACGCTAGCCGACGCTACATCGACGCTATATCGGCGCTGTCTCCGCGAATTGCTACCGAATATGTCTTGGTCACCATCCTTGCCGCACACACTCCGATCGTACCGAACAATTTGAGCAAAGACCGGCCGTCCGGCATTCCCATATACCTGCCACGAAACGTCCCCAGAACCCAAAAATGTACAAAGAACAAGAACAAGGTCCTTAGAACATAAACCCAATGTATCAAAACAAGGCAGGCTCGGCCAGAAATGTTCTCTGAGAGCACTTCGTGCAAACCACAACAGGTTCTCAGAACATTCCTTGGTAGGCCTATTTCGGGGATGGACAGACTCCCGTTTAGTAAAACGTGGTTCAGTGAAAACGAACTCGGACCCACACCCGGCGGACGCAAGCCTGGAGAATGACGGCCGCGGCGCTTGAGAACCGAAAACGGACAATTCACTTATCGACGTGTCAGGGTGGGGGTTCTGTCCACCCCCGACTATTGGCAAACTGGGACGCTTCGCCACTGCTCGAGCAGTGCCCGGCGCGGCGGGGCACGGCGCGCCGCGGGGAACGCGCGCGGTGGCCCGCCCTTTGGCCCCCTGCGGGCGCGGTCCTGCACGAGGGGGGCCCGCTGCGGCCCTGCGGCACGCGCCGCGCAGCAACGTTTCTTGGAGGCCTCCCCAGAGGCTTCGGGGTCCCGAAGCGGTGCGGTGACGGACCGTGCGGTGACCTCGGAGTCGCCCCAGACCTTACCGCACGGACCGTCAGCGCACGGTCTTGGGACCCCGGAGGCCCCCTGTCGCCCGAGGCGTGGACAATGCGTCGTGCGCCGAGCAGAAATCGTTGCTTGGGGAGAACGAAAGGGGGGGGGGGGGGCAGCAAAGGGTAGGGTAGAGGATCAGCTCACGCAGCTGATTTTTCCAGCGCCGACCCAGCGCCGGGAGGCGCCGACGTATCGAGAAGTGGGCCCAGCGCCGGGGCCGAAACCAGATTTCGTACCCCCCCCCTTTCCCTATCCCCTTTTCGTTCGGTCCGAGTTTCAGAGGCCTCCCAGATGGGCTCGAAGCAAATGTGGCCAGAAAATCGCGCCGCATCGTCGATGCATCACCGGTGCATCGGCAATGCATCCGCGGCTTCGGCGATGCATCAGACCCGTCGGCGCGGAGAAAATCGGACGCCACATCGAGCCGCATCGGCGATGCATCGGCGATGCTGCGCGATCCACCGACCCTCGCTGCTCGGACCCCATCTGGGAGGCCTAGACATTTCGAATACACTTGATCGACGCTGGCTCCTTCGTTAGCGACGTCGTCCTGATGCCCCCACCTCATCTCGGTGGAGAAGAATCGCCACGGACATTTTCAATTTTCGAGATCCCGGGGCTTTTGCTGGGCCCTGGGACCGTGTATAACCGCTGCCGGAGAATGGGTCTAGCCCTCTGGGGGTCGACGTCAAACGATCACGACGTCGGAGATCTGGGTAATGCTGATGATGCTCGTGCCCGTCCTGAGACGGCTGCTGCCCTCTGCCGGTGCTGATGCCGGTTGGATGGGCCAAACGCCGAGCAGGTTAATAACTACTGGACCATGACAGACATGTTGCCCAGCTTGAGATATGATGTCTGCTCATACTGTTACTTGGGCTTTTGGAGGCGACGGTGAATATTTCAACAGTGCTATCTTCCCTGTGGCTGGAGTTTGCTCTGTAACTCACACGCTAAGTGCAACTCAGACTCAAGCTATTGTTTTCGGCACGCCAAATTGCACTTCGCTGTCTACACCGAACACTGGCATAGGATGTGTGCCCTGGAAACCTCTGCATGTATAAACTAAACTGATACCGGAGAAAACCCCCAATCATAGTCTTTTGTATGGCTTTAGGGCTATGGGGCTATAAGGCAATAGGGCTAGAAGGCTATGGGGCTACAGGGCCATAGGGCTATGGGGCTATTGGGCGATAGGGTTATGGGGCTGTAGGGCTGTAGGGCTGTATGGCTGTATGGCTGTAGGGCTGTAGGCCTATAAGGCTATAAGGCTATGGGGCTATTAGGGCTATTGGGCTATACAGAGCTACCGGGCACCTGGGCACCCAGGCACCTGGGCACCCAGGCACCCAGGAACACGGGCACCCGGGCACCCGGGCAGCCCCGGGCAGCCCCGGGCAGCCGGGTCAGATACGACGCCCCCCCCCCGTACCGACCTTGAGCAACGTCGTCATTCAGTCGAAGGGA